CTCACAAGGATTCCAGACACCAAGCGCAGCCAGCTCCCTGGGCCGGGACCTGGCGCGAGGCTCTGCGGCTGCTTCCGGGGGCCTCGCTCAGCTCATTTCCTCCGAGGCTGCCCAGAGGCAGTGGGCCTCCCGTGGCCAATGCCGTGGCCAATGCCGTGGCCAATGCCGTCTTTGGAGGCCGCACCCTCCACCCCCACGCCAGCGTTTGGCCCATCCTGTCAGGCCACACTCTGCTCTCTTTTTGTCTCTGTTTGTCGCATCCCTTGATGGGGAACTTTCGTGCCCGGCATGTAATGCTCGTAAGACCAGTTGGACTTGGGATGGTGTGGGTTCTCTGAAGCATCTGGCTAGAAGCAACTGGGTCGTCTGCGGCTCTGAGTCCAGTCATCGCAAGTTCATGTCCCCCTCGGCAGTAACAGGGACCAGCCCTGAAAGTTTAAAGTTATTTCACCTCTGCGATGGCGACAGTGACAACAACCTTCAAAGTGGCCTTACGGGTCAGGTGGGGCAATGGGTGCCTGCAGAGGGAGGGGTATATTGACTGCCTCTCATACATGCTCAGTGACTGGGAGGGCTGGCCTCGGTTTGGCATATGGATGTCCGGTTGTCCCAGCACCGTTTGTTGAAAAGACTGTTTTTCCCCATTCAGTTGTCTTGGCGCCTTTGCTGAAAATGAGTTGTTCGTAAATATGTAGCTGGTTATCTGTGGGTCACTTTGCAGAAGTGTATTCCTCCCCATCCGAGGCACAGGATGTCTTCATGCCAAAGGCATCCGGGCCACATGCCTGACACTGAGCCGCTACAAGGTGTTGGGTGGGTCTCTTTCCTTCTCTAAGCCTCAGTCTCCACATCTGTAAAAAGGCACAGCTAGACGGAAGGATTCCTCAGCAGTGGTCCAACTGTGACACGCTGAGGCTCCCCTCAGGGCGTAGAACCTTCATTGCTCCTTGGGGTGTCCCATCTCCCGTGAGGCCCAGCCCGGCGGCCTGAGATCGGAGCCAGTCTCACAGCTGGGCAGTTCCAGCCACTCCCCACCCTGGCCCGGCCCTGCCCGGCCCGGCCCGGTGAGAGCCAGCCCAGCCTCTCCAAGAACATTGATGTTGTGCTCAGTTAGTGAGCAGCACCGTCCTCCTCCACACCTGCTGTGCTCCAGGCCGGGCTACACACAGCAGATGAGACACGGCCTCCGCCCCGGGGTGCCAGCCTAATGGGAAGACAAACAAACACAATAGTCACAGGGCTGCAGGTGCAAGTGGGCGGATGGCAAAACACAGCTGTGTGGGCCGGGCCACGTGGGAACACTGGCCCGGATGTCAGCATGTGCTCGGGCAGCATCTGAAGACTGTCAGGGTGAGCTGTGGGGCAGCCACTGTAGTTGCCTTCCGGGGCAGGTGAGGTAATGGCACCCGCCATCCAGCCGGGCGGTGACCTGACTGCTCCTTTAGCTCCTCAGCCAGCCCTACCCCGCGGACCATGTGGGTGCTGACCACCTGTCTCTGGGTACAGGCTGCCCGAGTTTCAGTCCCAGCTCTGCATGCTTTGGAAAGTGATTTCACATCTCGGAGCTTCAGTGGCACCTCCCTGTGGGACATTTGCTCCAGAGCACTGTAAGTTGGAAGGGTGTAGCCTTTTTCCAGGTGCTGTGGCCCCGTGTTGCTTATTATAGCCCAGGGCTCTGGCGTGTGGGAACATGGTGACACGGTGCAGTTGCTTTAAGTTGCCAGAACGGAAGGTGATCGCTGCAGTCCTGCACATTGATAGAGCAGGGTTCCTTGGCAGTGTGCATGCCCCTTGCTAACAACGAGCGCTCTTTGGGAGCTCAGAGAGCCCTCCCCTCCCCCACCACACACACACCACATGCGCACACACACTCACACACACACTCACACGGGACTCCGTTCATTTATCTGTTCTTACAGGCTCTTGGCTGTTGGCTCAGGGCGCCTGGTTTGTCCTCAGAGAACCCTCCGCCTGTTCAAGGAGTCCTCTGGCAGCCCTTGGAATTAGAGCAGGCTCCTGCCGCCTGCACGTGTCCCTGTCACTCAGCCCCTCACTCCTTTAGCCTCCAGCCAGTGGGCTTGAGGTGAGCCCACCAAGTAGGCGGAGCCTGGGGTGGCTAGAGCTGAGCCCACCAATAGCCTTCAAGTAGGCGGAGCCTGGAATGAGCTGGAGCTGAGCCCACCAATAGCCTTCGAGTAGGTGGAGCCTGGAATGAGCTGGAGCTGAGCCCACCAATAGCCTTCGAGTAGGCGGAGCCTGGAATGAGCTGGAGCTGAGCCCACCAATAGCCTTCAAGTAGGCGGAGCCTGGAATGAGCTGGAGCTGAGCCCACCAATAGCCTTCAAGTAGGCGGAGCCTGGGCGTGTTTGGCGCAGAGCCCGGAGCCCAGTCAGGTGCCCCGAAGTTACACCCTCTGATGTCAATGGGGCTCTGCCCCACCTGGAACCGCCAACTGAACCCACAGTGAGCTATGGCCGCCCAGGTGCGACGAGCTAGGATTAAACACTGGCCGCAGGGGGATGTGCGGAATGGAGCTCCCACGCGCTGGTGGCCACGTAAAGAGGTGTGGCCGCTTCGTGGCAGTTTCTTAAAAATGTAAACACACGCCTCCAGCTGATCCGGCCACTCCGCTCCCAGGTGCTTCTGCAAGAGAAGCGAAAGCTTATGTCCACACACAGCGGTCAGAGCAGCTTTGTTTGCAGTAGCCCCACACTGTCCACCAGTGGGTAGTGAAGAAACACGTGGTCTCCTACGCTGTGGAGTGTTTCTCAGCAACGGAAAGGAAGGACCCACTGACACAGGCAACAGCGTGGCTGAGTCTCAGAGCTGTCGTGCTGAGCGGAAGAAGCCGGACCAGGAAAGAGTCCGTACTGTGCCTGTTTGTGTAACCACCCTCCCCCCCCCCCCAAATGCACACTCGCCTCTAGGGACAGTGAGCACCCCCGCAGGTGCTGGGACAGGGTGTGGGCAGGCGGGAGGGATTAGAATGGGGTTGGGACACTTTGGGGTGAAGCTTTTAGGGGTGTATAGATGTCAAACTTGTCAGTTTGTACAATTTGAGTGCACTTACTGTTTTTCAATGATGCCCCCATAATGCTGTTAAAAGTGAAGGCCACCCCCCTGCAGCCCACCGGTCACTGAGAGGAACCTGGCTGGCCTCCTTCAGAGAACGCACTGGTTTGTGCCAGCAAATCGGAAGAGTGACGTCCAGACAGGGCGGTCGAGGAGCTGGGCCCGCCCGGCCCGTGCTTGCTGACCTCACCGTGCCCCCCTGAGCCCCCGTGTTCTCCCTGTAACAGGGGACCGGTGCTTGTACCTACCTCCTATGGTTGTTGTGGGGAGAATGCGGGGAAATCCATGTAACGCGCTTAGTAAACATGCTACACGGGGCCCCCAGGGGACCCAAGGAAGGGAGGGGCTGTTTCTGTTGGTGGCTGGAGCTGGGAAGTCCCCCACGAGTGGCTGTGACCTGGATCTTGAAAGGGGACAGGGCGGTGTCTTCTGGAAGGAGGTGAGGAGGGTGGGGTGCGGGAGGACTTACCAGGCAGAACTAGCTGGGGAGGCAACACTCAGACCCTAAGCGTCTAGCCCCGTGGTCGGCAAACCACGGCTCGCGAGCCACATGCGGCTCTTTGGCCCCTTGAGTGTGGCTCTTCCACAAAATACGACGTGCGGGCACGCACGTACAGTGCGATTGAAACTTTGTGGCCCATGCGCAGAAGTCGGTATTTTGTGGAAGAGCCACACTCAAGGGGCCAAAGAGCCGAATGTGGCTCGTGAGCCGCGGTTTGCTGAGCCGCAATTTGCCGAGCCGCAATTTGCCGACCACTGGTCTAGCCACATCGGGGCCCTGGGGAGCGTGGCTTCGTCATCCAGCCAGGGTTTCTCCAGGGCCTGAGGGATTTCTCTGGAGAACAGGAGTTCTGTGAGAAGTCTTGACTGTTTCCTCTAATGAAAGCCAACAGCACAGGAAAAGGCCTGTGCTTGGGGCAGTGCTCTGAGAGGAAAGACGTTTCATCGGTTCATCGGAGACGGCCCTCATCCTGAGGCCCTCCGTGAGGAGAGCGGGTTCCGAGGGTGGGTTCCTGTGCAGCCAGCATTTTCTCTGAAAGTCCTGCTCACATGTATTTGCATGCAGGGGACACAGGAGGAGTGTGGTGAGGTGTGTGTGGTCAAACCTGCTGCCGTGGGCTGCGGCCCAGACAGTGCAGGGAGGGGGCGCTGGCTCGGAGGGAGGCGTGGAGGCGGCAGGCAGGTCTGGTGGGTTCGGGTATGACTGATGACTGTGGGGACGATTCCTCCCGAGAGAAGGCGGGAGGCACCTGTGATCCCCAGGGCCGGGGAGAGGCTCTGCCATGCCGTGGGGACACTGCTGTGGTCACCTGGGCAGGAAGGTGAGGGCAGGCGTGGGAAGGCTGCTGACATCCCGGAGGCTCAGCCACATCGGGCCAGATGGTCTGAGGGAGGGGCCTTGTCACCGGCCACATGGGGCAGCAGTGCAAGAACCTGGGGTGCAGGGGCTGCTGTGGCTGCTGAGCGTGGGGCTGGGGTGTGACCCGCAGTGCGAGACCCCAGCACCGACCCGACACTCGCTGTTCTGAAGAAGCAGAGGCCGGCAGGTGCCTGCTCAGCCTGCCCAGCCTCTCGCCTGTGGTCCGAGGTGGTCAGTGTCTCATGAGGCCCAGACCCATTCCCCGATGTCCTGTCCAGGGCCCTCTGACCTGCAACCAATGGCCAGACCCTGCCCCTCAGACTCTAGGACCCCCCTCCCCTGGCAGCCATGCTGCCAGCGGCCGACTCTGACCCTGTGGCCAGGCCTCCTCAGAACCACGGCCGGGAGCCCTGGAGCCAAGCACCCCCCTTTGATCGCCCCTCCTTTCTGGGCAGTCTAGCCTCTGCTCCCCGCCCCTTCCACCCCCCCCCCTTCCACCCCCCCCCCTTCTCTCTTAGTTGCCCTGTGCCTTCTCTCCCTCCCAGAGTTATATTTATTTGGCGATGCAGTGCTAAGGACAGCATTTACAGAGCGGAAATCTTGTCTTCCAGACTCGGCCTTTTGATGGAGAGCTTGGGCTTAGCGGATTTGAGAGCGATGGCAATGCCATTTCATAGTCAAGGTATACGGGGGAGTCGCTGGGCCACACCCCATTTATCAGTGAAGGAGAGCTCGGGGTGGGGATTTCAGAGCAATTGGAAATGCTGCTTTATAGTCAAGGTATATGGGGGAGTCGCTGGGCCAGAGAGCAGCTGGTTTTCATGGCCAAACCCCACTTATCGGTGATGGAGAGCTGATGGCAAGCCACCCTCAGCACGTGTCAGGAGAGCAGCCGCCGGCCCATCCCCTCTGTGGCTGGATGGTGGGGGCCCTCCCAGCCCCGTGCAGGGCTCCTGCGTATCCAGTATCCATTCGCAGCCAGTGGCAGAGGGTGGGGGAGCCGCCCTGCTGTTGGGGTGGCTTTGGCGCAGCCTGGGGTTACCTCTCAGGCGGGAGAGAGCCCGGCATTGTTCCCGCCTGGGCTCAGCTCCCGTGGAGGCTGTGAAATAGAATAAGGTGTTAGGACGCTGCTGGAGACTCCCTCCTTCCCTCTGCGCTCTCTGCTCTCAGAACCGCTGCAAACGCCCGGGACAGAGAGCTCCCGGGACCCTCCTGCGGTCTGTGCGGCTGCTGCTCCAGAACCTTGTCTGTGACAAGTAAACACAGGCGCGGCCCCGGCAGCCACTGGGACAAACGCTGGGTGAAAACCAGCCGCACGCAGTCCCTGACATTCCATCTGTGCCCGGAGGAGCAGTGGGAACGGGGTGATGGAAACTGTGTGTGGCAGCGCAGGCTGAGTCACGGGGAAGCCGAGCGAGTCACGGGATGGGAGGACCCGGGCCTGGCCTCCGGCTCAGTCTGGGTGAGGGCCCCGGGCCAGGTGGGGGAGCAGGCACGCCAGGCCGTCACTGCCTGCTGTGGGAGCGGGAGTTGACTCGGGTCTGACTCCGGAAGGCTTCTGGGTCCCAGAACCAAATGCCCGCGGGTAGCAGGGCTGGCACAGGGCCGAGTGGCCAGGCCCCGTGTGGGAGCTGGGGCCTCCGTGTTGTCTCCAATTCTGGATGCGTAAGTGGAGGCCCCGATGCATGTCCAGGAGACGGCTGCTGGAACTAGAAGCATGGACGGAGGTGACCCTGGAAGGCTGGCTGCCCCAGGCTCCCGCACGCATGGGCAGCTCTCCGTGGGCTCTGGGGGGTCCAGGCAGGCGTGGAAGCCAGATCGCACTAGGGTATTGAAGAGCAGAGCCTCTGGACTCAGGCCACCCCGAGGTCAAGTCCCGGCCCCGCCCCTCACCAGCCCTCTGTGGATACCGATCGTTGGTCCTCAGCGTGCTCAGCTCTAAAGGAGGGATGGGACTAAGCATCTCACTGGGCCTCTGCAGGGGGCGGTAACCCTTTATCACCGAGCCAGGCACACGGGCTGCCAGGGACACGTTGGCGGTTACGATTATTCCGGCGAGTCCTGGATCCACCACTTCGGGCGGGCTCGCGGCCATTTTTATAACGTGGTGATACCGGCCACATGGTAGCCACTCTGGGAACCCGACTTCCCCCCGTCTCTGCTTGGAAGGGTTTTGGGGTCATATTGTAGGGGTGTCCCTACTGGGTGTGGTTAAGTCCGAGCAGGATTCTTGGGGGGCCTGGATCACCGGATGGCAGTGGTGGTCTGGGGTCTGCACATTTCCCAGGAATGTGTCGGAGGGATCGAGGTGGGGCTGCTCCATCCTGGCCCTTATGGGGTGTCTGCCCCTTCCTGGTGGCACCGCAGACCCGGTATGGACCTCTGCCTGCACCTCCTTCACAGGCCCAGGAAGGAGAAGGGGGGGGTCCATGCCAGCCCACTCCCAGGATACGGAGTTCTGAGCCCCAGTTGGCAATCGTGGCTGCTTCGGCTGGCGGGCAGTGCCAGGAGATTCCTGTTGGTGCCAGATCCTGTGGTTTTTCCTGCAAAGGCTGGTTCCCCGGAGACCAAGCTGCAGCTCAGTGGCGGCTCAGGGGGCCCCAAATCAGGGCAAAAGGGGCTGCTTCCTTCGCAGTTTCCAGACGGACAGCCTGGGCCGGCCTAGCTGGGGCCTCACGGCCACGCCTCCTGCCCTGTGCTCTGCCCTGGGCACAGGGGCGGCCCTGGGCTCAGAGCCAGGCTCCCTGCCGGCCCAGGGGTTTCTCCCACAGCGACAGCTTGTCCTCCCTGCCTGGGGCCGCTCTCCTTTGGGGCCCGGGGCCTGCTGCTCCGTGGCCCCCAGCCCGGCTGGGTCTGGTAATGCCACCTCCTCCCGTCGCCCCTGCCCCCCAGCACCATCCCCCAGGATCAGGGGAGGGGAGGGGCCGATCCTGGTTCCCTTTCCTCCCCTGGCAGCTCCAGTGCCCCTGACTCACAGCTGGACTCAGAGCGGGTCCCCTCAGGGGTGCGACCTCAGGGGTGCGACCCTGGCCGGTCCTCCCAGGCCCGCTCGGTGCTCTGATGGGCAGTGGAGTCGGACCTGCCTTTGGAGCCAGTGTGGTCAGCGAGACCAACTGGGGCGCTGGAATCCGACAGAGCCAGGTTCAAGCCTTAATGCTGCCACGGCTCTGCGTCCCCGACCGGTCACTCAGTCTCAGCGTCCATGTCTGCGATGGGGAAGGTGAGGGCAGCCCTGTCCTGAGCAGGTGCCCCGTGATGCCCGCAGCGTCCTGAGAGGAAGGAGCAGGTGGAGGAGGAAGCTCTGAGCTGACCCTGCTCAGCCTCCCTGCTCCCCCTGCTGCCTCCTGCACGACCGTGACCATGACCTGCCTCTCAGACCGGGGACGCCGAGGACTGAAGGGGCAACTGAAGGGGAAAGGCCAGCGCCGCCTCCCCCCTGGCTGGCTTTTCGGTTTAAGTCCACGTCCCCTTCTCCAGCACCTTCCCGTCCACCACACACTTTTAAAAAAATATATATTTCTACCACTTAATTCACCCTGAACCTTCCCTGTGACTCAGATTAAACGCTCCCGCCCACCCGGTGTGGCTCAGTGGTTGAGCGTCGGCCCATGAGCCAGGAGGTCACAGTTTGATTCTCAGTCAGGGCACAGGCCCAGGTTGCGGGCTCGGTCCCCAGTAGGGGGTGTGCAGGAGGCAGCCGATCAACATTTCTCTCTCATCATTGATGTTTCTCTGTCTCTCTCCCTCTCCCTTTCTCTCTGAAATCAATTAAAAAACATATTAAATAATGGAAAAGAATTAAACTCTCCCCCTGCTGAGCTGATGACTCAGATTCTGGAAGCTTCTCGGCCTCACAGTCCGTTCCTGGGGAAGCGTGTCCCCAGCGGCGCCCCCGGGTCTCGCCCACCTTCTGTGGACCGGTCAGTCTCACAGGCCAATCAGTGGATTTTTTAAAAATAAATCTTTATTGTTGAAAGTATTACAAAGGTCCCTGTTTTTGACCAATGGCTTTGATCCAGGTTCGACCTGAGGATGTGCTTTGTCGTGACCGTGCCATCGCCTGCCCTGACCCAGCCTTGCGTCCGGGAAAATAAAGTCCTTGCGCGCCCGGCTGTCCTTCGCGATAACCACACCGATGCTGGGAACCAGGCCGTTTCCGTGCTAACTGCCTCCTGCCCAGACCCACGCCAGCTGGCACCAGGAAGGGCTGTGGCCTCTGCCCAGAGACACGCCCGCAGCCGCACCCAGAGCTGCTTCTGGGACCTGGAAATGAAAGTCTGTTGTTTTTTAAAATCCTGAGCACATTTTTTCTTTTTGCCAAAATGGTTGGGCCGGGGCTCCCAGGACCAATCCTAGGTCCTTCCGGCCTCCACACCTACCCTCCGCCAGCTAGCCCTGCCGCCCGCCGGCCACGGCGGCTCCCTGCGGCCGCTGGCTGTAGCCTTGGACCATGAAAGCGAGGGTGGCAAAGGACAGCCACAGGCCACATGGGCTGGCCGTCTGTTTTACTAGTAATCCAGCCAGTGAATGTGGAACGGGTCTTGCATGTTTAAAGCAAAAATATGCTTAAAATCAAAGAATGTGCAACAGAGACTGCATGTGGCCTGCAAAGTCTAAAAATATGTATTGTCCGATGCTAAACAAAAACAGAGCAGCCGGCTGCTGTGAAGGTCCCTGGGCAGCGCCCGGAAGGCTCTGGGCCTGCCTCGGAGGGGCTGGTCTGCGCTGGTGGAGGAGGGGCGCCCCGGGGAGCCAGGGGCCCGGCCAGATCAGGCTGACAGCTGAGGGCGGAGGCCACTCCCCGGCCCAGCTCAGGGCCAGGCACGGCCTGGCTCACAGATCTCAACCCACAGCCTCAGAGGTCCCTCCCTCAGATGCCCTGTGCCACACTCACAGGGGAAAGAGGGGAAACGGAGGCCCAGAGAGGCCGGGGCGCCTGCTCCAAGGCCAGGGTCCTCTCCTCCTCTCCTGTCTGATTTTAGGCGGCCCCTCCGCCCGGCTCGGCCTCATACTGCGCAGTGTTTGCTTTGCTCGTTGGTTTCTGTAGTTGACATTCCCAAAGCGCCGGTCACTTCGCTCACTGACCCCGGGCGCTGAGCGAGGAAGGAGCCTCCTCGGATGGCGGATGGCCGCTGAGAACGGCATGTCTGCCTGGGCTTGGTGGTGAGGGGCTGGAAACGGGTCGTGCTGGGGGACCAGTGGGTGGACCACGCTGCCACAGATCACTGAAGTGGGCGAGTGGATTTGCGTTTTAGAGAGAAAGCCTGTTTCAATAGCGACCCGTGGACAGGTCTTGCGATGGAACGTGTTCATGAAGAAGTGTGTGGAGGGGTCGCAGGAATTCCATTGGCGGTACTGCGATCGGTTCCCCCGTAACCCTCCGCGTTTTATTCTCCGCCTCCCAAGCCTTTGTTCTGAGGAGTCCACAGGGAAGGTTAGGAGCCCAGCCCACTCCACTCACAACCCCCACTGGCGTCTAGCTCACCCACCGCAGCCCCCATCCCGTTCCACGTGCACTTTCCCTCGGGGCATCTCCAGGCGGGGACGCTGCCGCATTTGCTGCCGTGGCCGTGGCCGTGGTGGAGGCCAGCTGGGAGCACCTGCCGCATCCTGGGTTTCCTTGAGTTGGAAGGGAGGGGTTTGTGGGAGCAGGACTCGAAGCCCGGCCTCTGAACTCTGCCACCACCTCACCACGCCCCCAGGGGGTTAGGCCCGTCCGCGGGGCTGATCCGTGGGTCGGAGGCCCGCCCGAGCCCCGCCGCCCCCACGGACCCTGTGCTCCGTTTGAAGTACCTCGGGGTCCCCAAACCTCCAGGCCTCAGGGGCCTGGGCATCCCCCTGGGAGGGTCGTCAAACCCCGCTGCCTTTTGGTAACTAGAGCTTCCCATCGCCTGGGGACTGAAACCTGGGAGCCTCGCTCCCCTCTCCTGGGTCTCGTTTTATACAAATGAAAGCGGAGCTTTTGGAAGCCGATCAAGTCACCCCCTGGATGAGAGGTGAAAGCCACAGGCACCATGTTAGACGGCTTTTCCCAGGAGCATTCACAGCCTGGGCGTGGCTGCGGGGAGCGAATTAAATTGTGAGAAGAAACCCAAGCCGCTCTGAAAGGAAGCCTGTTTGGGAGGCTGAGCCCTGGAGGGTGGGTGGAGGGTGGTGGGTGGGCCCGCCCTGGGCACCCGCTCCCCCTCGCCACGGGCACCCTTCCACGTGGTTCGAGGGCAGAGCCCACCCCGTGCAGGGCCCAGGGGAGGGTGCCCAGAGTCCAGTCCACGCCTGTTGCACAGCCCACTGGTGGCTGCACAGAAAGGGCCGGCAAACACCTCAGCCGACGTTAAGAGCGGTTTGTTTGTGAAGCAATGGCTGCCTGTTATGGAAGATCAGAGTGCCTAAGAGGAAAACAAGGAAACAGAACCTTCCAGCTGTGGTTCCATCCACCACAGACAACTGTCCGTCCCCAAGGGGCCTCCAGACCCCGTGCCAGGGAGAGGCTGGGGGCACAGGGGCGGGGCCTCGCCCTCCTGCCCACGCCCCTCGCGCAGGCCAGGCCCATGAACACGCAACGGCAAGGCCTCCCAACCTGTCTCTACACCGTTTTTAGGTGGTGGTTCTGTTTTGCTTGTATTGGTTGTAGAGTTGTGACCACGACATGTACCGTCTTGTCTCGGTTTTTGGTGCTGTCATTTGACGCTAAGAATTCTCCATCACAAATTCACCTGAAGCATATACAGTGGGGCCTTGACTTACGAGTTTAATTCGTTCTGTGACGGAGCTCATAACTCAAATTACTTGTATGTCAAATCACTGTGACGTTCGCTGCGCCAACTCGCGGTGGGGTATCTGAAGCTGGCTCGTAACCCGAATTTTTTTGAGCTTGCAACTCAAAGCAAAAAATTAGCCAAGAGACGGCTTGTATCTCAAAAAAACTCATTAGTCGGGACACTCGTAAGTCAAGGCCCCACTGTACTTTCGTTGGCTGCACAATATTCCGAAGCCTACGTGTAGTGCACTTCTCTCCTTACGCCGCCCCCTGGTATCGGGCAGTTGGATTGTTGCTAGTTTTACTTTGTCTTGTTTTGCCATTTTAACTAATGCTGTGGTCGGTTTCGGGTGCATGAAACTTTATACCAATTCTGGGCTGTTTCAACGACATTCGCTGAAGGCTTACTCTGAAGGCAAGGCATTATGGGAGACTGGAGGGTAAGCTAGACACATCCTTTTCCTAAAATGCAGATTTAACGAACTTTAATCCAAAGTAGCTAGGAGTTCCCACACACAGACAACAAGGACTGGCACACGGGGGAGTTTTGCTTGCGCTTGGAGGGGTTTAGAGAAAGAGACTTCACGCACCGCGGAGGGGAGGGTGAGGGAGGGCGGGCAGTGCAGAGAGGGGCTGGTTAGTCCGGACACCTACCAGCAGGCAGGCCTCCCAGGCAGCTGGTGTCAGCGGTGGCCAGGGCAGGTGGTGTGTGGCTCGGCGAAGCAATGTCGCCGCAGAGCCCTGGTTGGTGGACGAGCAGGCCCGAGGCCCGGGGCTAACAGGCCGTCCCGCCTGGCATGTTACTTTCAGGGGCTAGTGTCAGCTTGGCTGATGCCAAAAGTGGTTTCTGAAATTGAGGCTTTTGATTCATTCAGATCAAGATTCATTATCTGTCGCTGACACCTCAGGCCACTGTGTTTGAGGGTCAGAGGGCGGTCCCCTGTGTCCCAGGTGGGTGAGCCCCGAGCAGGGAGGCTCAGAGGCCAGAGAGAGTCCCCACCTCCCGGGCGCCCTGGGCCCGCTGTCTGGTCCCCCACAGGAGAGCCAGGCCTGTGCTCCATTCCTGCCCGTCTCCAGGCCTCGGCCCTTTGACAAACACAATCACCCGGACTGTGTCCCCCTGTCTGAGCACAGGGGTGGAGTGGACCTGTCCGTAGTCACAGTCTCCCCCACCTTCCTGGCCACCATCCACCTGCCCTGGGCCCCCCATCCGCCTGTCCTGGGCCCCCCATCCGCCTGTCCTGGGCCCCCATCCACCTGTCCTGGGCCCCCCATCAACCTGCCCTGGGCCCCTCATCCACCTGCCCTGGGCCC